GTTAAGCACACCTACTTAGTGTAGTAGCAGCAGTTAAGAACACCTACGTGTAGTAACAGCAGTTAAGCACACCTACTTAGTGTAGTAGCAGCAGTTAAGCACACCTACTTAGTGTAGTAACAGCAGTTAAGAACACCAACTTAGTGTAGTAACAACAGTTAAGCACACCCACTTAGTGTAGTAGCAGCAGTTAAGAACACCTACGTGTAGTAACAGCAGTTAAGCACACCTACTTAGTGTAGTAACAGAAGTTAAGAACACCAACTTAGTGTAGTAACAACAGTTAAGCACACCTACTTAGTGTAGTAGCAGCAGTTAAGAACACCTACGTGTAGTAACAGCAGTGAAGCACACCTACTTAGTGTAGTAGCAGCAGTTAAGCACACCTACTTAGTGTAGTAGCAGCAGTTAAGTACACCTACCGGTTGAAGAAGTAGTCCCATCGACAGTCGCACATTTCGTATATGACCTTGAACCACATCTGCAACGTATCGTACTGCACCGTTGAGCCGCCGCCAGACCCCCGTAACCTTGGCAACAGTCTCCCTAGCAACATCGCGTAGGTGTTTGTGTACAGTGCCATCATCTTGGTCGTTCGTTTCTGCACTTTGCGCAGAATTAACTGCAGCAGCTGTGTGCACGTGACCCGATTATAGATATTTGTTATTGTTCTGGATTTGTACAAACATAAAGTATAGACGTTTGTTCATTTTTGTGGACTTGTACAATATTACTATTCACAAGCCATAACGGGCGTGCACGCCTATATATGTACGCAAACAATCATACATACTTACTCTATCAGTGGAAGGATGCATGCCTGCTGACTAATGTGTGTAGCCTGTCAATAACCTATGTATGAGCCTTGGTGACCAGCAGTACTACATTATAACGCTAGCATGCATATATGCACCTTGTACAGCCTACTACAGAAACCACGCTCAAAAGTACTCTAGAATCAGCTCTAACCCCAAAAAAGGCATACAAATATGTACCTACACCAGTCTATCACACATATGTGGCATTCACTTATGTACCATAGTAACGTACCTACACCTGTCTACCATACATATATAGCATTCACCTATGTACCCTAGTAACGTACCTACACCAGTCTATCATACATATATAGCATTCACCTATGTACCTTAGTAACGTACCTACACCAGTCTATCATACATATATGGCATTCACCTATGTACCTTAGTAATCAACAAAGGCCCGAACGCTTGTCCTCCATGTTGTGCTGCGCTCATCACAGAGTCTAGTGCACCTGTTGTATAGGCCTTGCCTGCCTACAAAGCAACATGTACATAAGGGCGGTAGAGATATAGAAGGTAGACGTGAGTGTGTGCACACACATACCAGGAGTAGACAAAGCAACACGTGCAAAAGGGCGGTAGACACAGTAACACGTGCACAAGGGCGGTAGAGATATAGAAGGTAGACGTGAGTGTGTGCACAGACATCCCAGGAGTAGACGAAGTAACACACACGGGCGGTAGAGATATAGAAGGTAGATGTGAGTGTGTGCACACACATACCAGGAGTAGGTATGTGCATCCTAACATAATACACAGCGAGACAGTATACTATACGCTGAGTCCATTCAAGAATGTGGGTGTGCGTGAAATCACATCCATATGCAGGCATACATCCACTGCACAACAAAAGTAAAAAGGGGAATTACAGTAGACAGGAAGACGTATAATTACAATACACTTTAAAAATAATCACACACGCTGTAGTTCATCGGTACACAGGCTGTTGAAGATGGTGCCCAACTACCTCTGCACATGGATA